CCCCGCTGACTTCAGTGAACTGGGTTTCAGGTTTCAATACATGAAGTTCATCTCTTTGAGCAGATTTTCTCTCAAAATCTGGAGCACATATACATTGTTACATAAAAAGCTTGTCACTAAGAGAGCACCTGGAAATGGAGCTGAGACCAGGCACCAGGACCCACCGGTGAGTGGTCAGTGTGGATCGGGGAGGCTGGGGGAGTGCTTCTGGAATAAAAGTGCTGCCCGCACAGCGGCACCTCTTCTCCCTGCCTCTCCCGCCCTCCATACCTCCTCCTCCCCACCCCATGGCATTCCGAGGGAGCGGGAGCGTTTGCAGCCACACACCAGCTGGGGATCAATCACCCACATTGCACCATTCTCTCTGTGGGAAGCCAAACGCAGCGCCCAAATGGTGGTTTTCAAGCCCATTGTCTCCATGGGTAAATAATTCAAAGTCGGTTGGCATGAGTGGGCAGGAGAGGTTCCACCTCCTGCACTAGAAGGGCACCGACTGCACGAGTGAGAAGTAGAGGAACCTTCAAGACTGATTCCCGTTTAAACACATGTGCCAGAATGTTGTGCCTGGTCAAACAGAATAAGATTCGAAGCGGCAAAAATGATACTACTATATTTTACTCATTTAAGTTTTTTAGTCCCTCTCTTAATGCTTTGGAATACACCATTGTCATACGTATCTGCAAATCTGCAGGGCAAACATTCCCGGGAAGCAATGACTGCATAAAAAGCCCTGACCGTGTGGTTCAGTTGGTTAGAGTGTCATCTGGCAGACCAAAAGGGTGAAAGGTCACAGGTTGGATTCCCAGTCAGGGCACATACCCAGGTTTAGGGTTTGATCTCCCATCAGAGCATGAACAAGAAGGCAACCAATCGATGTTTCTCTCTCTTGCCCTCTCTAAAAAAGTCGTGAAAAAAGGTTCTTGGGTAAGAAGAAGAAGAATAATAAAAACAGGCAACAAAAGAACATTTTACATTTTCAAATACGCGTTTCCCTCACAAGGATGTAAATGGAACTCTGTAATAAATTACAGTGTATTGTAAAGATAAACGGTCCCTTGGCCTGCATCCTCTCCTTACTCTGTTCTCTCCTACACACAGCTGCCAGGCTAATCCTCTGAAAACACCAATTTTCATATGCCACTTTTCAAAAACTAGCTTCCTGGCTTTGGGTTGCCTGAAAAACCATGGCTTTTCCCAAGGCTTTTGTCTGGCAGTCGAGGCTCCTTATGGTGCGGCCCCTCCTGGATGTTTCATTCCTGCTCATTTCTCCTGCCAGGTACCAGCTGTGTGACCTTGGGTGAGTTACTGAAGGTACCTTGTAACTTCCGGGGAAAGGTTCCACACCCCTCCTACGCTTGTTGCTCATTCAGCAATGCTCTGGAACGCCAATACCGGGTCCCATGACAACCCCTGGAAGTCAGGAGCCAGGTGACGCCGCCACCACCTCACCTCATGGACTGAGAGTGGGAATGGGGCTTTTCCAGAAGCAATCTGGGGCGTCGTTATGAGAAGCTAGGTAGCAAAACAGGGATCCACTGCAACTGTCTTCACAGGCTCTGGGCCAAATTTAACAAAATGTGCTTCCTATTCCAGAGACAAGAAGAGAAACAAGCTCATTAACTCTCATTTGGGCCTCTTCCCCACCACACACAAGTCCACTGGGGTTATCAACCACGGTCACCCAAGGCGCCATCCGAGTCTGGCATATAAGGTGTCTCCTATAGTCCGTATGTGACCGTCGTAGCTTTGGCCACTGTAATGAAGCTCAAACCCTGCCGGGGAGCTCAGTTTGTGGGGTTCATTTGTACCCAATATTCGTGCCTTTTGACGTAATGAACTATGTGGTTCAATAATATAATTTTTATTTCAGGTTGCATAAATTGAAGTAACACCCAAAATGGTCTAAAAATGAACAAAACCAATATATTCCATGATGAGTCAAATAAAATGTATTTTGAGTTGCCATTCTCCTCCTTTGAAGCTTAGCAGCATTCCTGATCATTGTCGTGACCTGTTTGTGAAAAGATACAAAACAGCAGGCTTCCCCCACATAAGGCTGTAGCCAAGCTGTCATGAATGATGGTCTCAGCATTTGCATGAGCGCTATACAGCCAATCATCCTCTGAGGGCAGTCACACCGACCCACTCGTCCTCCGGATGACCTCTCTTCCACACACACCCCCTTCCTGGCTTAAACTTCCATCCCTGCAGTCTATAGTGAAACATTTGCAAATCTCTCTTGGCCATAAACTCCTAGGAATCAGGATCTCTCACCTCAGTTTCCCCTGGGCTGGGTATTTTATTTGGCACGTGGGGGCAGGGGCCAGTTAAAACCTGCATTAATGAATGCTACTGGCCAACCCACTGATCCATGCTCTGCGAACAAGCACTATAATAAACACCAGTTCATTTCTCGTAACAGAATGCTAGGAGCCTCTCTCAACAAACTAAATTGCAAGGAAAGAATGAAGGCTGAAAGATAACTGTTTGTACCTACTATGTCACAGGCACTGGCTTAGGTATTTTGGGGTGTACAGTATTTCGTTGAATTTTCACAGTCCTGTGAGTTCTCACAGACTCGGACTTTGGGTTACTTGCTAAAGTGATACGAAGTCATGACGACGGGCCCATGAGCGAAACGCAGTGCGGGGATCACCAAGTCTTCAACTGCCCTGTGTGGAAAGAGAAAAGTGCAGGCCCCTCAGCGGGCAGTGGGGCAACGGCAGCATGAAATCTAACACGTACCCATATTTGCCGTGTATAGCGTGCACTTTTTTTGCCCAAATTTGTGAGGACAAATAAGGATGTGCATCATACATGGGTATAATGATGACATACCATGGGTATGAGTATAACAATCCCGTGTTGCGCACGAAACCGTGGGTGTGCATTATACATGGTAAAATACGGTAATTCCAAGATGCATGCATATTTAGGTGCTATTAGGAAATGTTGAATATGTCCATTTTAAAGAGTGTTTGTTTTAAAACCCTCTTTGGGCAGCAGTTAGAGCAAGAGCAGAGGCGTAATGTTACAGCAAATAGATTGTGTCAGAATGCTTTGGGAACTCCAGTGCATAAGAATTGTTAAATTACTTTTTTTCTTGTCAATTGAAACAATAATAGCTCTCATTTGAATTATGCTTTATAGTTCACCCAGCCTGTGGGAAAAACAAAGGTAATTGGATATGGTTGCCATGCACAAGAAAGGAGGTACAATGAAATGGAATGTAAGGGACATATAAGTAATATATGTAGTTTATATATAATATATTAATATTAATGTTATATATAAGTATATATACTATACAGCCCATCTTCCTTTAAAAAAATTCACCTTGCCCTGGCGGTGTGAAGCACTATCTTGCAGATTGAAAGGCTGCAGGTTTGATTTCTAGTAGGAGCACAGGCCTAGGTTGCAGGTTCAGTTCCTGGTCCGGGCATGTGCCAGGGACAAGAGATTGAGGTCTCTCTCTCGCATTTACATTTATCTTCCCTCTTAAATCAACTAGCATGTCTTCAGTGAGGATTTAAAAAATCGACCTTAAGATGCCTCTCTGCCACTCATCTTCATTTGACACCCTGAAGAATGGGAGTGGTTCGGTGCAGGGCTTGGTTAAGCAAGCCAGCTTCAGAGCAAGGCTCAGGTCGCTGCGGCTGCGCTGCTGACTGACAGCCGAGCTTGATGGGTGGTTCCTGATAACTGACCTCAGAAATAATTCCATTGTTGAGAGAAGTACACAAAGAACCACAAACCCACCCTCACAGTGGATTGTAAGAAAAAATAACCTTAAAAAAATTTCCCTTCTCAGAGGGCGGACCAAGAGGAAGTTTATCCTCCCACCCACGAATTTCCCAGAGAGGCTTCCTCAGGGAGGTTTTTCTCTCCTTCCACTCGCAGCAGCGGGACTCTGCTCTCAGTGTCTCGCGACTTCATGGCCCATTCCAGACGATAAAGCCAGTCTGGAGCGTGCCATGGGCCTCAGGACCACCAAACAGGTGAAGAGAGGCGCAGAGCAAGACCCTGGCCACCGAGAGGGTACGTAGGCATCTGCTGCTTTCCTGCACTTTTCAGAGCTGAGATTTCAGCTAGAGGCTCCTCCTTCGTGCACTAAAAGCTCTTACTTTCTCTCTTTCAAACCAGCTCCTGTCTTTCTAGTTTTAGATATGAAAGCAGACATAGATTATTTAAAACCCATTAAGAGATTTCTTTTACATTTAGGTTGCCCATCACCTGTGTCTAATAGGTTTGTGATTGATGCTAGGTTTAGTTAAAGTATAACAATTTTAAATACAAGGTGGGGCAAAAGTAGGTTCACAGTCGTGAGTGCACGAAAGTTTATTCTTGTATTATTTATTTATTATTGTATTATTTTCCATACAAACAACTGTGAACCTACTTTTGCCCCACCCTGTACGTACTTAGTAAACGGTGCCAGTCTGTGCTCACGTAAGTAATCGGTATAAAAATCTCTTTAAATTAAAACCTAGTGGTTGTTTGTAAGAACCCAGTCAGTATTTCTGAGAGGCCTGCAGCTGTTTTTCTGGAGAGGCCCTGGGGGTGTGCCGGAGTGGCCTCCTGGCTGTCTGTGCAGCGCTTGCCCTGGAGGCCCCACCGCAGCTAATGCCAGAGAAATCCAGACAGAAGGTACTAGCGTGCGCCTTCCCGCCGCGATCGCCCGCGGGCATCTCCGCCCCAGCCTGCCTAGAGCGAGCACCTGCGGAGGTGCGGGTTTGAGGGTGATGCCTGCGCAGCCAGCCTGGGCAGCCACCGCGCGAGCTCCGGGGACCTGCCCCGAGACCTGGGCGCGGCTGGGAGGGAAAGCGGGCTGGGAAGCAGAGGCCCCGGGACCGTCCCAGCGCCCGGCCCCGCCCGCTGCAGGAGGACGCGCAAAGAAGGGGCTCCGCTAGTTGCCGGAGCAGGAAGTGAGCCCGAGGAGGAGCCGCGGAGAGCCGAGGAGGAGGAGGAGCAGGAGCAGGGACCGGGCGGGAGCTGTAGGAGGGGCGCGGGGATGCGGCGTGAGCTGTGCGCGTCTGCACGGAAAGTGCTCTCAGTCCCCACCGCTTGCTCCCTCCTGGTCGGAGGCCACCGGTCCGGTGCTAGCCTCCCCACACGCCCCCATGGCTTCTCCGGACGACCCTCTACGAGCAGGTAAAGTGCACAGCGCTGCGCGCTCACCTGGAGGCGCCCGGCCGCGGCGTGGGGTAGGGGCCAAGCTTTTCGTGACCCCCCTACAGGCGTCCGACCGGGGTCGGCGCGGGGCTGTCAGGGAACAGTGGCACCAGGTCCCCACGTAGCCCTACCCCGATCACCCACGCGTGCCCCGGACGCGCCCGCCGCTTCCCACCTCCCCAGCGCTTTTGTTCTGGACTCAGCCGCCAGGTTGGGACAAGTCCCTCCAACCCCTGGCAGAGAAGAGCGCTAGGGGCGGATTCCCCTTTCCGGGCTCTCTCTTCCTCCCTCTCAAAGGCCTCGTTTCTCCTCTTCTCACTTCACTGCTATTAAGTGAATTTGCTCCAGATATTGGCCCTCGAGCTATTTCATAAACTGGCATCCCCAAACCAAGACCCGGGTCCTGGTTCAGGACCCCAGCTGTGGGGCCTTTGATTCGATGGGCCTCCAGTCCTGTCCTTGCTTTAAAATACTGTGTTTGCACCAAAGGCCAGAGTCTGGACTGTTGTCTAATCTCCCTTGAAGTGAAAATCCTCCTCAGGCCTTACCTCCCAGGAATTTCTCTGCCCTTGCTTTCCCGGTAACGTGGCCTCTGCGCAGTGCATGTCCTGAATGCAAATGAATGAATGGTGGGGACCCCGAACGCGGAGGCTCTTCTAGTTTTGTGGAGGTTGGAAAGACAAGGGGGATGGGTTGGAGACCACATATCCAGATACAGAAGTGCATATAACTGCATAGGTAAGCGCGTTTCCCAGTTTATTGTGTTGGCCGAAAAGTTCGTTAAGTCTTTTTTTATAAGATTTAAAAAAATATTTTATTTATTTATTTTTAGAGAGGGGAGGGAGGGAGAAAGAGAGAGAAACATCAATGTGCAGCTGCTGGGGGCCGTGGCCTGCAACCCAGGCATGTGCCCTGACTGGGAATCGAACCTGCGATGCTTTTGTTCGCAGCCCATGCTCAATCCACTGAGCTATGCCAGCCAGGGCTATTAGGGTTTTTTGTTTTTGTTTTTTTTTTTGGTAGGATGGCTAGTAGCACTTAGTTGTCTTAAACTTTATCCAAAACAATTTTGTTAGATTGTATTGTGTCAGCTGTCATGTCAGCATGCATTTTTTTTAAAAAACTTGTCAAAGTCGGTGAATTTTTGTGCAGCCATTTTAATATTGAATATGGAAGAAGATATGCAACATTTTTGGTGTGTTATAATTATTGTTTCAAGAAAGGTAAAAAACACAACTGAAATACAAAAAAAGATTTGTTCAGTGTATGGAGAAGATGCTGTGACTGATCGAATGTGTCAAAAGTGGTTTCTTGGTACTGTTGACATTTTGAGCAAATAATTCTTTGCTGTGGGGCTGTCTGATGCATTGGAAGATGTTTAGCAGCATCCCTGGCCTCTACCCACTAGAAGCCAATAACGGGACATAGCCGACATACTCAAAATGTCCAAATCAATAAAGTTATTGGTGAAAATTAAAAACATGTCTTTTATTTTATGGAAAAAAAACGTAAAAGACTCTTTGGCCAAACCAATACTTCTTGGGCTGGAGCAGGGACCAAGCTTGAATGTTCCATCGTTAATTTGTGGCTTGAGCTGTTAGGAGACAGTTTCTGCGGACTGACATGGTGATGTGCTGGGTTCGGGAGCGTTTCCTGGACATTCTAAAGAAAGATCTAAACTCTTCTTCAAGTGGGGGACGATACACATTTTACCCATGGGAGATGGAAAATACACTGTCTGGCTGGCCTCCCCCACCCCATGCCCCTCGTTTGGAAAAACAGAAGAGGACTGAAAGGGAGGAGGCCTCCCACTCCCCATCCTCAGCCCTCTCACCTTCTGATCTGAGACTCTAATCAACAAGGTGCAGGAGGTGTCAGGCCAGACTCTGCTAACTGTGGTTTCGGGTCTCGTCCAGCGATGGCTGGAGGAATTCAAAAAAACGATCTTGACAGGGAGCCACTGAATAGGGATGAATGTAAAGTCTGCTTGTGCCCCTCCCACTCCCAATCAGCTGGCTCCAGGGGGGCGGTGCTGGCAAACGCAGCTCCCTCCCACAATGTATGAAAAGCCTCGGTGAGTCAGTCGTGTGAGGAGGCCACCACGGTGACTAATACGATCTGCGATGACAGTAAATGCCCCACAGAATCTAGATTCCGTTATGGACTCTGAGTCGGCTCTGCCCAGCCAAACCGGGGCTCCCAACCTGGAGCCGGGGCGCTTGGACACCCCAGCACAGGAGGCGTGATGGCACACGGAGAATCTGGTGACACCAGGGTGTCTATGGAAGGTATGTCTCCTTGACTTTGAGAAGCAGCACCTGGAGGTGAAATCTTTTTGGCTCCTACCAAGAGGGGGGAGGCCTCCCAAGGCAGACCTGTTCTTGTCCCTTGCAGTCATGCTGAGGAACTTATTCAGGCATCTGAAAGATGGCCTCATGCCCAGGTCCACTCTGGAATTTGTCAATAAGATGACGGTTCCTCCATTTAAAACAGATTTAAAATCGCTTCTCGGCCTTTCGGCTAAGATCAAGTGTAGCATCTGTTCTTATCAGTTTGAAATGGATTTAAAAATGACACCCCCTTTACTATCTCGTTTAGTTTCTGTCACCCCCAGGGCACACCCACGTCCCCTTTCCACTTCTGTGACAAAGCCGCAGGTGGTGCCCCTATGTGGAACTTGGTGAAAGGAATTTTCACGTCTCCACCCCACACGAGGTTTCTATCCTCCCTCGTCCGAGTTCCTACACTCGTCTCCCAACTGGTGCTTCGCGCCCACTCATGCCTTCTACCGAACCCTTCACCGAAAGGTGGCCCAGAGTGATCTTCTCTCCACTTAGAAGCCCGCACCAAATTTCCAGCAAATCCCCAGTCCTTGCTTCGCTTCCATACTCTGCACACAGGGCTCTCTCACCTGGCCCTTCGGCCAACTGCTGCCCTCTCTGCCCTACAGCCGCGCTGTCTCCTCGGGTTTTGTGCCTTGTACCTCCTGCCTCCTGGCCTTTGCACCGGCCGTTCCTGCTGCCTGCAAGGCTCCCTTCACCCGCCCCCCGTCTGCTTACCCCCTTCAGGTTTCAGCTCAAAAGTCATGTAGATCAAACCCCACATTATATGCTCTGCGGTCCCCAGACCTTCCCTCCGGAGCACGGTCACAGCCTCGCTGCCCTGTCAGACTCTGTGCCCTTGGACAGAGCGAACGCCTGCTTTGCAGGGCAGGCCCCTGAGACACCTGTGCAGCACACAGCACAGGGTAAGTGCCGGCCAGCCGCCCGCTGCCTCAGGGAGGGATGAGAGAGCAAGTGTAACCGCACATGCTTCCGGCTCTGAGGAGCTCATTCACCTGGTTAGATGCGTGAGCTGAGGTTACCTTGTAGAGTTAGAAAAGACATTTGTCTGTCCACATGCATGTAACCAAGGCGTGTATGTATGATTATGCTGTTCTGCGCTTAATGAAGTCAACAGCTTTTTAACTAAGAAAGTTGACCAGATTGCTGAGGTCACAGAGGAGGAAATGCTGGTCGCCGTGCGGCCCTCTCTCTCTACCACTGGTCAGCAAGCCAGCAGGGAGGGGGTCAGAAGTGCCTGTCCAATGGGAATAAAGTCTGGTTCGTGTTTGTACAAAAGTGAAGTCCAAGAGAGAGGCTTTGAAAGTCTGGCGTCCTTGCTGTGAGCTCAGCGCCCAGGGCCAGGAGCACCCGCCCCCTTCCGCACCCATCCTGGCTCCAGAGACCAGCTCAGCACAGCCCCTGGGGGACAGCTCAGCCCTCACCGCCCCTCCCAGCCCCACTTTGGGCGCAGGTGGGTGTGAGGTGCCACTCTGGCCCCCTCACACACACCCCTGAGCACAGGGAGCAGGGGCAGGACCCCAGGGGAAGCACTGGCAGCAGCACCCACATTTGAAAGTGGACCATCCTGCCCTTCTCCAGATCCAACGTAGGGTGGACGGCTGTGGTTTTCCTTTCCCCTCCTTCTCCCCCGCCCTCCCCTCCCCACCCCTCTGCATGGGTTTCTCCTGTGCCCACCTCATTTCTTTCCCGTTCTTAATGCCTGTGTTTTCTAAGCCTTCTCCCCTCTCCCCTCCTCTGAGCCTCTTCCTGGGACCCTCTGCTCTGGCTCTGCCCTCCTCCTCCCCTGCCTGTGCTGCTGCCACCAGCATGCACAATGCTAGGAGCCCCGTGGCTAGATCCCTGGCGCTTTCTCAGCTCCTTCAGCCCCAGCTGTGAGGTCTGAGGGTGACAGAGGGCTGGCAAAGAAAACAGAGGATAAAATAAATACCTTGGTGTCAGCACCGCCCAGGGCGGTCCGCCGCCCTGAGAGCTTTTGTAATCCCGAGTCTGGTTAGCACGCTCCAAGTCCTTATAATCAGGAATGCAAACAGCTGTGGCTCTAAAGAAACCCTATCGTACACAAAATAATAATGTGAGAGATACATTAACCCTGAAATCGCAAGGTCAAAGAATCGCCTTTAATTCTTCTCTAGAAAGCATGAAAGCCCCGCCCCCCCCACACCTTTGGATCAAGATGTTGGGAATTTGGGGAACTCTTGCCTGTTTCCCCCTCTTTTCTCTGCGAGGACACCGTTAGAGCGGATCTTTGAACTTCTTGGAGCAACCGTCTCCAGGAGCCAGTGGCCTTTATCTAACGTGACTAGCAGAGAGAGATGTCGGAACTTGACCGTGTGGTGGCTGGACGACTCAGCAGAGCCGGTGCTGGCCGTGTGGGATTGTTCCTCCCGGGGAGGCTGCGGGGTGTGCATGCAGTTTCTACGGCCCGGAGAGATGCTGACCCTGTGGATGATGGGACTTGGGTCTCTGAGTGGATGATCAGTAGATGACATCGTGGATGGAGGGTGGGTGCTGGGGTGATGTGGGGAGAGGCTGAATGAATGTATTCACACGTGGGAGGGATGTGAATTTGAGGGGCCAGAGAGTGGACCGTTATGGGTTGACTGTGTTCTCCCCACCAAATTTTGTTGGCATCCTAACCCCCAGTGCCTCAGAACATGGCCTCATCTAGAAACAGCGTCTTTACGGAATGAATCAAGTTTGGAACGAGGCCATTAGAGTGGGCGCTAATCCAGTGTGACCGGCACCCTAACTGAAGGGACGTTTGGACACAGAGTCTCCGAGGGAGGGAGAGTCTGCTAGGAGGACTGAGCAGGACCCCTGACGGCAGTGGGACAGAGGCAGAGTCCCAGATCCACGTTCTGGCTCTCCCACTACCGCATGACCTTGGGCACTCAGTCTGTAGAAATGGGGACACCTGTGCCTTTCCCAGGGTCCCCCTAAGGATGAACCGAGACTGTGTGCAAACCGTGCAGCACAGGTGGGCACCAGGTGAGCGGGAGCTGTCCTTGTTACTGATGAGGCACGTGGCTATACTCGTGGACAATCAGTAAGTGCCGTGACGGGGGCTTCTTACCTGACAGTGACCCTCTAACTGACAGGCCATTACTTCTCAGCACGCTCCCTCATGGACTCTCCAAAAATCTTATTTGAGAGAAAGAGAAAGAGAGAGATCGAGAGAAAGAGAGAAACACTGATTTGTGGTTCCACTTACGCACGGGTGCGTCACTGGCTGCTTCCTGTGTGTGCGCTGGCTGAAGATCCAGCCCACAACCTCGGCGTCTGGGGACGACACCGACCAGCTGAGCTACCCGGCCGGGGCTCATCACTCACGGACTTTTAGAGCTGGACAGGCACATGGGGGCTCTCTGTCTGTCCCCAAGCATTCAGACGAGGGACACCATGCCCGAGAAACAAATGACTGTGCAGCCTGCCTCCTTGCTGTCACCCGAGGCCTCAGAGCCGGGCCGGGTGCCCTCTTTGGGCATCACATCACCGTGGGTATCCCCGGTGCCTTTGAGAATCTCCCCAGAAGATGCTCACGTGGATGAAACATCGCCCGCACTGCCGGCAGCGAGGTCCCTCGGTCAGTTCATTGCCAGCTACTCTGCGGTGATCTGTGCCTTGTTTATTTCTTTATTTTTTTCTTTATTCTCATAGACATTTGGGTCTGTCTCTAAATTCTCCATTTTATTTACTATATCTAGGCTAGGGCCAAGCTTTTATTTAAAAAAATTTTTTTTAAAGATTTTATTTATTTACTTTTAGAGAGGGAAGAGAGAGAGAGAGAGAGAGAAACATCAATGTGCAGTTGCTGGGGGCTGTGGCCTGCAACCCAGGCATGTACCCTGACTGGGAATCGAACCTGAGATGCTTTGGTGATTGAGCCCACGCTCAATCCACTGAGCTATGCCAGCCAGGGCTAGGGCCAAACTTTTAATTGCTGTAGCTTATTTTTGAGAATCTTTTGGTTTATTTTTTCATATAAGCTAAGAACCTGTCTCTCCCTACCCCCACCATGAAAAATCCAGCTGTATTTATCTACCTGGCCCTCACAGGGCTCTTATTGGGCACACTTGTGAACAGGTTAAATGTACCAGCTAGTGTAAAAACACCCCTTTATAGTTTTTACTCTTCCCAACCAAGAACACGTGTGCATATCTGTCTGTGTGTTTCTATGCCAGTGGCGACACCGCCACCACCTCGCCCCAGTGCTTTCCGCCAGGAGCCCCCACCTGCCCCTGGTTTTAGCCCCATAAATCAATTTCCCCGGGACCTGATGGTCTCTGGATGAACCCGACTCCACATCTGGGCAGAGGGAGGCCCTGGCCCTGCTGGGGCTGCTGGTCTTCACTGTGGAGGGGGCATGGCCTCCTGTCAGTTTCCGCTCTTCCACGCCCCGTGCCCCACCTGGTGCCGCAGCATTGGCTGGGGGCTCAGCCCGTTCCCTGGGGCCTGTAAAAATAAACAGTTTAAAGCTCTTAAATAAACTATTGGGTTTTATACTTAAAATATTGTGAACACACAGCTCCCAGAGCTCTCGGGGAACTGTAGGACTTCCCGCTTCCAGACCAGCCTCAGACGCCGGGGGTCAGCCCTGTGGCGAGTGGCCGCTCAGCCGGAGGCCGACACGGTCTCGGGAGTGAAGATAACACAGTAGCAGCCCCTGCTGCCTGACCACCCGCCCCTGCTACCCAAACGCCGCCGTGCCTTTCCTGACGGCCCTCTCACTGTGCTGTCATGCCGCAGAAAACCTAAATTCTGCATCCCTCCCAACTGCACCTCCACTTGTTCTGGAGATTTCAGACCAGAGCAAGAGCTGGGTACCTCCAAACCCTGCTGCTGTCCACCTGTGTCTTCCCGTTCAGCTCAGAGCCCCCCGGGACACGCTGAGCTGCCACAGAGCTCGGTCAGCCAGCCCCAAGGGGCACTGGGAGTTCATCCCGCCGGGTGGTTCCCGACGCCGACCAGAGTGACAGTGATCTGCTGAGGAGTGTGGGCACCAGAGACTGGGCCTTCCCCCCCTGCAGAGGAAGAGGCTGAGGCTGTAAACACTTCTGTGAACCATCTGAGGTCACGCAGCTGGGCTTGTCCCCAGCCGGACCGCGGGCTCTCTGGCATGTGGTGAGACCCAGGCGCTGCCCCGAGCCCACGGTGCCTTCCTGTCAGCTGTCCTGTTTGTGAGCTGTCCTGTTGCATCCTCTCTGCTGCCTTTGGTGCAGTTCTGCCTCCCAGCCGTCTCCCCTCCTGTCCTCCTGTGTCTCTCTCTTTTCTGCCTCTCATGCCCATTTGTGTGTAGGAAACAGGCCTAGTTTGTCATGGACGCAGTGGGCATAGCTGCCCAGGGTGCTGTCGGGGTCATTTAGAACCCCACCCCACCCCAGCACCCCAGTGCTACACAGCTGTTGGCCTGAAACCCCATTGTTCATGCCCATTCCAGTCCTGCAGCGCTGGCTGCTGGCAGGGAATGCTGTGAAGTGTCAGCATCCAGGTGCACTTCAGTGAAAAGGAAGCGGTTGAGAGGAGGCTGTGATAGGAGGAGGGAAGAAGGGCCTGAGGCTGCTGGGTGGTGGCTCCCCCACCCTCTGCCCAGCCAGAACCAGAAGGTGAGAGGCAGGGAGAGGAACTGACGGCAGGTGTGGCTGGCAGAACCTGTCTGAAGCACATTGATTGTTACATCCTTTCCCATCTCCAGGCCTTTGCCCATGCTGTTCCCTCTGCCTTGTGCTTTTCCCTGCCAGCCCCTTTTCCCAGTGGGTGGCAGTACATGGGAATTCCCCCCCACGCCACCCTGTCCACCGCACCCATCCTGTCCCGTGTGTTTCTCTGGTGTTGGGCAGAGTGCTCGTGCTGTGATTAAATTTCCTGTTACGTGGGCATCAGCAGTTCTGTAAACTCAGGGTGCAGCTAACAACACAGTTTGTTCTTATTTTCTTTATGTTGATTTAAATCCAAATCTGAATCTGTTTCTACGGGGCTGGCAGGAATTCCATTTCAGCCCAAACTGGGGGCCCGGCCCCTCCTTAGAGCCACACAGAAAACTGGAGGACGGATGAGCTTTAGAGGTTTTAGTGCACTGGGGTGGGAACAATGTCCTCCTGGTCCAAGGTGAGGCGACCCTGAGCTCCGGCAGCCCTCTGCTCCTGTGCCGGGCACCAGTCACAGTCGTGGTTGGCCCTCCATGCCTTCCCGCATGTGGTCTCACCACCTGCGGGCTCTGGTCACGAGGCTGCAGGCCACTGTCCCTGTCCCGGGGGAGGGTTCTGGCCACGCCCTCCCCGTTCGCCCCACTCATTGGGTCACCCTCTCAGTCTCCCCAGTGACAGTAGGCCGTCACGAAACACACAGTTCCCTTCACACCGCCGTCCTCTGGCACTGTCACGGACCGTGGAAAGGCCCCTCTCAGATGGGAGACCTTTGCCTATGCAAATGATCTCAACCAAGTGTCCTGGTCTGCTGGTTTAGGTCTCCAGCGGCGGCCCGGGGCCCGGGGCGTGGTGTCTGCTCCGTGAGGACTGGGGAGAAGGTGGAAGTTGCCCTTGGCCGGCTGAGGCTGCTGCGTGGGGTTCGGCAGACCCCGTGCTGCCCGGCCGAGGGTCCCACTCAAGCCGATACGGTCGTTTATTAAAATAGTTTTATAGATATGGTCATTTATTAAGACGGTCTTCTGGCAGATGTTTTGTAAAGCATTTCGGAAAGAGGGAGCTTTTTCTAATTTGTACAAAGTCATAAGATTTAGTGGTAGTCTGTTCCATTCTCTACATTTCCTCATTAACTTCCTTAACTGTCTGCTTGATAAAGATTCTGTGAGTATTTTCGACTTGCGAGCCACATTCAGATGCTTAATGTTTTAATATGGTAAAGATAGATCACAGAGGAGAGGGCAATAGGGAAGAGGCAGATGCCCAAACTAACTCATTCCTGCTCAAAGTTACAGTCAAGTCCAATGTGCAAGAGAGTCATTCATGTCCTGTCTGCGTGATTTGTGGCTATTGGTAACTCTGGGTATTTGTAGGTATTTATAAATAAACTGTTCTAAATATGGATTTTTTTAAAAAGTTTGTCTTGATCCCTTTCTCGTGCAGTCTGACCCACCCCTACTTACTCTCCGCTGACAAAAGTAGCTTGTCCCTATGCGGAGACGAATACCCACGGATGCCTCTGAGCTTTCGCGTTAAAGGAGACTCTCCATGTTTGTTTCTCTGCAGGTCACATGGCGGAGGAGCCCGTGGAGGACACGGACCCCAGCACTCTGCCCTTCAACGTGGTAGGTTACAGATTCCGCCCCGTCGGCGTGACTCTTGTTTTTCCTTCCTCCCTTTGTTATTTCTTTATGTTTTTTATTACTCATTACTCATTATTACCAGGAAGATCAGAAACCCCCAAATGATATTTTCCCAAGATAAGTTTCTTTATCATGGGAATCTCTGTGACCAAAATAAGCTTTGGGTTTCTCCAGGCTGAAAGCGGCTAAACTCAGCTCTTGTTTTGACACCTGGCGGAGTGAACTTCTCAGATGTGGGAGGGCTTTGTTTGCATGTCCCCCCTTAATACTGTCCCTGTGTAGTTGCCCCCCTCTGCAAAACGTCTGATTTGAGATCGAAGGAAAACACAGGACCACCTTCCGGTGATGGAGTCCCCACAGGCCCCGGGAAGGTGGGTACTGCCCTTTTTGTAGAGGAAGCTGAGGCCCAGTGGGCCTGGAGGGACTCACACCTGGCCTCCACGTTCGTGGCTCTGCATCCACCTGTGAGACGGCGGGGCAGGCACTTGCATCCCCATTCTACCCACGAGGAAGTGGGAGCCAACAGCTGTGTCTGAAGTCGCCCTGCTCTGCCCTGCGTGCCGCCTGTGGCTCAGGGACCGCGTCAGGCCATGACAAGGGGGCATGTGTTACTGGCCTACAGTGTGAGGCACAGTCCTTTTCCCGGAGTGGCTGGAGGATCTGGTTGGGTGCTTAAATGACAACAAATGCACTGAGTGTGATAAACTTCAATGTCTGTATGTCCGGTGAGTCACGAGGCCCGTTGGTGCCTTGAAGACCTGCAGTGCTTGTGTTCACGGCCGCGATAAGAGTGGACAGTGGAGGGGATCGAGCAGGGACACCCAGTAGGGATTTAGGAGGAGCAGATGCCTTTGTCTTCAGTCCCATGAAAACAGAAAGCAGATGCCCCTGTGGCCATGTCCTGGGACCTGCCCCACTGCCCCACCTGTGGCTCCCTGGGGCCCCACTCACTTCCCCGCCCGAGGTCTCCCTCCCTCAGAGCCATTCCTTCTGCTTCTTCCCTCCACTCACTGCCTCTGAGCATTTCTCCAAGCGCCCTCTCTAAAGCACGCTGCATCAGTTTGCTAGGGCTGCAATAACGAGGCCCCGCAGCCTGAAAGGCTTTAAACTGCAGAAACGTGTTGTCCCGTGGTTCTGGAGCCAGAAGTCCAAGGCCAAGGTGTCTCAGGGTGTGCCTCCTCTGAAACTGCAGGGGAGAATCCCCTCCTGCCTCTTCCAGCTGCCGGCAGCTGCCGGCCGTCCTCGGTGTCCCGGGGCTGCCTCGCTCCTCCTCTGTCTTCTCTTCTCGCCGTAGCCGCGTGTCTGTCTCTCACCTCTCGTGAGGACATCGGTCACGTCAGGTTAAGGGCTCACCCTACTCCAGTATGACCTCATCTTAGCTCATTATATCTGCAACGACCCTCTGTCCAATGAGGCCACATTCTGAGGTACCGGGGGTAGGGCTTCAGCACACCTGGCGGGGGCACAACTCATCCCATAACATCCCTTCGGCCTCCCGGGCTAAGTCACACTCCTGGGTGTGTCCGGCGAGGTCAGCATCCCTCTGAGATCTGGTCGTGAACAGCTATTCGCTGCTTCTCAGATAGCGCCTCGCCCTCGTACCTTCTCAGGGCACCTGTGACACGGCCCCCTCCCTGCGTCCTCAGCCAATGGACTCTTGCGACTCTCCCTCCAGGTCAAGGTTTCCTGATTATGCGGCCTCCTTCACTTTGTCTTTAGGCGTTCGGATGCTCCCTCCTGGTAACTCGTCCCTGCTTTCTACCAAGCTGTGCTGGATTGCTTGCTTGTCTGAGTTCATGCAAGACTGTGCCAGCCATTGCCCCCTGTGCAGAGCTGGGCTCAGGCAGGTGCGGTGAGCTCGGCTCTCACCTAAACCCCTCTGCTTCCTCGTAACCGGCCCCGTTGTGTGGTATCCATCCGCATCTTCCTCGTCTGCCTCCTTGTGCATCTCTGCTTCCCTCTGGCCGGCCTTCCACACCTGCTGCGACACTCTGCCCCCACCTGGCCTTGCTCCTCTGTGCCACTGTCTGCAGTCACCATGTCCTTCCTCTCAGTCCTCCTCATCCCAGCATGCCCCCCTAGGCCCAGCTCAGATGTCAGTCTCTCCGGGAAACCTCCCCTCCCCAGTCCGGGTGTCCATCCACGCAGGCTTGCAGGTGTTTAGCGAACACAAATCAGAACCTGGGCCATTCTCTTGTCTCTCCCAGGAAACAGGCAAATACCGTACAGAGAGCCTGGGAAGTGTTGTCCTACAGGCGTGTTTTTCTGGGGAGCAGAGTGTCGGGAAGGATTTAGTCTGGGGGAAGACTGACTCCTAAGTTCTCTGTGATTGATGATTGATTGATTGATTGCTTTTGTGGAAAGGGATTGGAGGCTTCTAGACATCCTAATATTTTACTGCCATGCTCCAAAGAACCTCCAAGGAAAGGCATTCAAAACAAAATCCTTTGTTCCAGGCTTGTTTGTTTTTGTCCTCTGTCCGAGGGCGAGGCCCCTGGGAGGACTGGAAGGCACAGCTTAGTTAGGCTGCGGGACGGCGGACCCCCCGGGTCTGGGGGTTGGGGGGGTGGGGGAACTGGGCACACTCTCACCCTACTCATGGAAGTCTTCAGAGAACGACTACTGGTATAATCTGAATCCAGGGCTTCCAGAACGTTCCATACCTGCGTGCTTGTGGGCGCCAACAGAGGAACGCGTGGTTGTGAGTGCACTGCCGCAGTGCAGCGCTCGGCGAAGGCGCGGGGCGCTGTGCGTTGACCCAGACGAATGCCACGGAGACGGTGGGACAGAAACGAGTGCATCCCCATAATTCATGAAAACAGATGCCCCTCCGTTTTCAACTGCGGGAAGTTCGCGGGGCAGCGGCCAGAGCTCAGGGAATTAGGAAGGCTGTTCTGCTTCCTGTTCCAACGTTAACTCCTCGTCAACCTCGATCTCCTTTCTGTAAGCCGACAACACAAGCCGGCTATGGGTCAGCCCCAGTGATAAGTCCAAGGCTAACAACGTGCGAAGTTCTCAATTAAAAGCATGACTTTCCCAAGACAAAGCTTTCTTTTACTTTGATCTTGTAATTGACTGTGGCATTTAAAAATAACTGTCCTCTCTTGTTGGTTTCTACAGCCAGACAAATACCCTATTCAAGACACGGGACTCCCGAAAGGTACGCATGGTTAATGTAACTACTTGAGCTTGTGATTATTGCACTGTCATGAATGAAGCACTAGTGAAAGTAACTTTTCATTAGTTAAAATCGTAAGTGGCTTTTTTGGATGATTATCTAGGTGTGCATTTTCTTATTAAAATACATAAATTAATTGATAACACTATACATGAAATTTCTATGGTGTTTTTCGTGTGCATAAAATGAAGACACTCCCCAGGACCCCGGGTTGCAAGTGACAGACGCCTTGCTGAAGTTAGTTTTAGAACGTGGGGAGAGACCTATTGGCGCAAGGTCTTCTGGTGCTGCCAGCTGCAGGCACTCAAAGGGTGGCTCTGTCTTCTGTCCTCAGGCTGGCTTTCCCCAGCAGGGGTGGGGGGGTGGGGGCGAGGGCGGGGGTGGGGGGATGGACATGATGGTCCCCAATACTGTTAGCTTCACACTTGGTGCTGCTCACGATGGTCGATGGTCGAGAGAGAGGGACCTTCCCCCACCGGTGCCACCACACAAGCAGTTTGGCGGTGTGGCCGCCGCAGAATGAGCTGTGGTCACCAGGGCCGAGCCTTGAGATTGGGTGGGTGCAGAGGGTACACCGTCATTTCCACCCAGACCACAGGACCTCCGGTTCTGTTTCCAAAGGAGGGCGGCTTGTCAGGCCCCAAAGCAAAAACAGCTCTCTTTCACAGCCCATACTCCGATGATGCATCGGGGTGGTGCAGACCACAGAGGGGGTGAGGCTCTGCCTCTCTGGGTTGCCCTGCACCCGAGGTGGAGGCCAGGCTGCTGGTTGCTGCCCTGGAGCCTTTACTTGTGCTCTGCTGACAACCCAGAGGGGAGAGTGGGGAGTGGTCAATCTGACCAGCTCCGGAGCTGCCCTGCCCACACCCCCGCTTCCCGGAGAGAGGACTTCCTAGCACACTCTGTGGGTTCCCAGCAGCGTGTGCAGTGCCGGGTGTCATGGGGTCACTGACTGGAGGTGGTCAGGGAACCGCCCCCCCCGGCCAGGGCCCACTGCCCTCCCTTCCAATCCCTGCTTACCAGACTCTTCCCCCGGTCCCTGAAGGTACAGCATGACAGGGTTCTTCCTGTGCATGTCCCGGGAATGGCAGTGGTGGAGGAAAGACCAGGTGTGAGCCCCGCTCCCGGCTATTAGGGGAGGCTCTGGCGAGCTCGCTGCTCCCCCATCCATAGGTGACCTCTGCGTGTCCTGAGTCCCCAATCTGTGGTTCTCCAGTTCTGTAGGAGAGTGGGTGGCCTTTGCCTGGCAGCCAGGCACAGCTGGGACGGGACACAGTCTTGGGTGACAGTGAAGACTTCAGTGTGTGGTGTTTGTTTAAAATGCAGATCCTAGGCCCCGGCTGCCCTGAAATCATGATGGGTGGTCCGGGGTCAGGCCAGGGAACCTGCATTTTAACACTGACTGAGTGGCCAGGACCCAGACCTCGCTCTGAGAACCGGGCTGGAAAGCTTCCAGAGCTTGGTGTGCCTGCCAGCAGCACGAGAACAGAGTCAGCCCTCGTGGGCTCAGCGGTGGCTGCAGGCCTCCGGGGCTCAGGTTCCCATCTGCAGCACAGGCAGGACACATGAGCATCCACCTCCCAAGTGCTTGTGAGAAGGCAGGGGACCAAGCCTGGGATGGTGCTTGACACACACGAGCCTCAGCCAGGTGGAGGGGACGTGGCCAGAGAACTGTGAGCAATCACGGTTGAGGACTGTTGAAAGCTTTCATAGCAGAGTGGCCTAAAGTGGGACTATTTCATTATTATTATTATTATTATTATTATTTTAATCCTCACCCAAGGATATATTTGTTGATTTTAAAGAGGGGTGGAGAGTGAGACCTTGATCAGTTGCCTTCTGTACTCGCCCTGACTGGAATCGAACCCTCAACCTTTCGGTGTTTGGGACGACACTCCAGCCAGCTGAGCTACCAGCCAGGGCCGGAGGGGCACTATTTCAGACAAAGGATGAGCTGCAGTGACTCAGGGAAAGCACTGTCATGGTTCCATCTGTCTCAAGATCTTTTCCTTACATGAGGTTTCCTGTTTTGAAAGAAAAAGATTGTTGCTTAGTACCCGATACTACAGTAACCATACTGTTGGGTTTCTCCGAGAACTTATGACAAAACTTTAATAGAATGGTGATGAGTTGGCAAGAAATGTGGCTGTAAAGACCCTATCTTCTGCAGAAATAGTATTTGTAAGCACATACTTTCTTATCTCCAAAGAAATCTATCATCTTACATGTAATGGACCATGCCCAGAAGTTTAAACACTCACTCAATTCAACATTTGCTTTCAATAGCGTAACAATGTAAAGTCTGCTAGTATTTTTTTAACAATATCATCATCGAATGTTTATGGTAATTTTCTCATTGACATTGTTTTTAGGGAGAGAAAACCCATATGAATTAGTGAAGAGATTAATTTGTAGATTTAAAAGTAAATGTGATCTAATTATATTAAGCACAAACTCAGTCCCCGACATTTTAAGTGAATTTTAGGGAGGCTTCTTATTTAGTAAATGAGCTATTTTTAATTAGCTTGAGCAATTTCCATGTGGTTAGAAAGTCCTCAGAATTTATTTTCTTTAGCAGATTAATCATGTTTCACAAAACCCTTATTATATTTCTAGTATATTCCTACTTTATTCATCGACAGTAGAAAACTAATTTCTCAGTGCGGTCCAAACTGGAGTGGTTTTGAGTGATGTGGTTTTACTGTAAATGAACTGTGGAAATCCAGTATGATTTTAGTGATCGGCATGTTTCTGAGGTGAGACATGTTATTGTGCCTGTTTTCCGGTTGGGAACAAGTGTGTAGCTTCCGCCTTTCCTGGTGGCAGGGACTTCACGGGTCCCAGTGCCAGGCCTCGTTTCCGGTGGGACACACGTCCCGTGAGCATCCGAGGTGCTGAGTTCAACTCGGGACCAATAGACAGAAGATGGAACAGGATAGCTTGTCTCGTATAAAATGCTGGCTTGCGTGTTCTGAAGGGGATATGACCCCACGTTGGAGAGAAAAATGTCTTTGGAGAAAGAATCTGATTTTTGAGCCACTGTTCGTAGTGAGGAGAAATCATACATCACAAGTCAATCTCATTTTATTATCTTTATTTTTTCTGGTGTTAATGCTCTTTTCTTTTACCATTCAAAAATTTATATAGTGAATTTAAAGTTAAAAGAGAAGTAAAGTAGACTGGTTTTGTTGTTAATCATTTTGAGGAATTTGAACTTAAGCATAGATGATATTTGGGGGCCTTTTAGAACAATTGGTTAACTAAATGTAGCAGTAGTAGCTCAATTTGAAAAAGTTTGGAGAAAATAACAATGTACTAAGGAAATCTCTAAAATAATTCAGAAGTAAAAATGTCCGCCCTGAAAGTAACAAGCCGACCTATGTTGGTCTCCTGTGCGTTCTCACCTCACATGGTGACAGAATTCCGTTAACAGGTTTTCTTGTTCAAACTTGAAACCGAACACCCTCCCACCCACCTCCGCCAAGGTGCTCTCCAGGGCACCTCCTGTTATAATAAATCAAATACCAATCCTCTCTCACAAATTAGGACATGAATAGAAAGTTGACCGCTCTGCAAATTTTTTTCTTTTGCGGAGAGCAAAGGACAGGGAGATAACCTTAGGAGTGTTTGGGGTACCACATAAGGAGAGTTGCCATTTAAATTCAAGGTTTCATTGCATTGGACAAAAATACCCCACTTTTGCAGAAATGCTGAGTTGACATTATGACCCTAGCCCCTTCTTATGAGAAGTTGCATGGCTGAAATCACAGGTCTGCAACTTTTCGCTGCGGTGGGATCCGTGGAGTGCTTGCTAGATGTCAGTTTTCAGGGGTCTCTGAGGTGCCAGGTGAGGCCTGGGGCAGAGTCCAGGAATCTGCTTGGTTAGGACGCAGCCCCGATGACTCAGGTGCAGAGGACAGGGGACTGTGTCTCGAGGAACACAAGCTGAGGCAGGATCTCTGCCGCTCTGCTGGGAGGATATCACACAGACTCTCAGCAGAAGACCATGTTTTGTTTAAGTTGTGCAGGAGGGAGTGAGTGTAGCCCCTTGTTTGAACAAACCTGGCAGCCAGCCCAGCACACAATAGGTGAATGAATGTTAACGAAGGTAAAAAATAAACAGATGAATCAATCTGTCGTTCAGTCTTCACTTTCGAACCCTGAGTTAAATGATTCTCTGTTTAAGGCTTTATCACTCTGAAAATGTACATGACACCAAACATTTCTTTTATAGCGTGCTGTGTTTCTGTCAGCTTTCAAGTTCAGAGTGTGGTGTGGAATTCTGAGGTTAAAGATAAAAATCTGACGGAGCAAAATCGTTGTTTAACACGTCGGCACCACCCTCACCACATGCTGGGGACCCGTGAAGTTAACACACGTAGGACAACCCGAGGGTGGAAGTTTTACCCTAACCATGAACTTTGAAAGGTGTTAGATGTTTTTTCATGTGTGTTCTGTTCCTTTGACCTCCTGGCAACCCCCAAGTTCACAAAAGAACTAGAACGGCTGGGCGTGGCTTTTGGGAGGTGAGCTAGCAAGCAAGTGTTCCCCCCGCCCTGCTCCTTTGGGTCTCTGAAGGGCCAAGTAAAACATCAGACAGATGGATGACACGGTGCATTTGGCGCGCTGTCTGTCAGAGGGGAATGTGTTTCGAGTGCCTCTTAGTCACCTGGTCTATGAGGAGGGGCCCTGCCCTGGGGTTATGGAGGTGGCCACACACAGGACACCTGACACTGGATAGGTGACTGGGTAGGTGACACCGACAGATGTGTATGAGTCACCTGTGCTCGCAGCCTCCGGGAGAAGGACCCTGAACACCACATGGGTCTCTATGGGGGCCAGAGTGAACAGCCAGGTGCTGGGGGAGACAGGCCCTGGTCCCCGAGGGAGCATGGGGTAGTGTCAGAACAAGTCTGTGGCCTGGCCGGGGATGGAGCCCACCACTTGGGGGTAGGGGGGCGGGGACCGTGCTGGTCCCCCTGGTTAGGAGCGCTGTTTTGCAAGGGGCCTCCATGGGGCAGGTACGATCCGGCCATCCTGACCCTGCCAGGGGTCCAGGCCGCACGTCACGTGGAGTCTTAGGCCTCACCGCCCGCGGATTGTGTTCTTTTCACCAAGCTTTGTGTCTCTTTTTTTCCTAGTTGAAGAGTGTGATCCAAGCCCTTTGGACTGCCCTACAAACCCGGATGTGCAACATCAGGTAAGAATAACTTCGATTATATTCTTACCTCCATGTATGTACACTCCAGCTGGGATTTTTGAGAAATTATCTTCTAGAGCTTTAAAAATAAAGAACAGGAGTTTTAGGTAATGAAATGGGTCTGGAAATGATCTTGGAGCATCCCGGTGTTGTGGCCGATCCATAGAACTCGCGTTACTTGCAGTCTCTGTGGCAGCCTGGATCCGTTCTGTGAAGCAAATCTTCCCTGCGGGCTGAGAAACAGTCCCCGTCAGCGGGTTAGCGAGGAGAGCTGCCTTCTTTCACAAGTAACGTGGGTAGGAACTTCTTATTATCCTGCAGCAAAACCGGGTCATCCAAGAACAATTCTGTAATGTGTTATAAAACTTTCACCCTTTTCATGTAGCAGAAGTAGAACTGTAATGTATTTTTTATTGCCTTTTTCCAAAAAGCAAGTGCATTTATTGTTCTCTGGTTATAAAGGAATGGTTGTTATTTTCATTTCAGATGGGATAAAAATGTACACAATAATCTGAAATTGCCTGTCATTCCATTGTTCGTGTGTTGAGGTCCATTCTCCCAGCACCTTCTCTGGGCTGCTGTGTGCTTCCGTTGCTTCTTGTACCATGCGGTGCGTCTCTTTCACCCGCCCAGAGCTCACCAGCAAAATTGCACCAAACCTCACATCTGCTTAGTGTAGGAGCATCGAGGGTCTCAAAAGGCACGTCTCGACCGGAGACCAGTCCTGCTCCTTCCTTAATGCCAGGTTAATTTTTAAACAAGACCAATGTGAAGTTGTGTTCAGTCTGACTTGTAAAACATCCGTCTATAATGAATCATTAATAAGGGTATTCTTGGATGTCCAAATCACTTTTGTAAGAAAGCAAAGTTATTCAATACAGTTGATGAAACAAGTAATGTAATTATGAACACAGCTCTCTTGAAAGTTGTCCGTGATGCTATTTTAACTTTCATCTGGGGGTCTTCGGTCACCCACTGTGACTGTCTTACTCTTACCTGTTCCTTTTGATAACTCAGCATTTTCCTTGGAATTACAAGCCAATGATTGACTTGGGCACAAACTGAGTGTGAAACATTTTAGTAAACCTAATGTATACATTTTTCCTTTCTTACAGTTTCTAATTTGTTTAACAAAGTTTGGTTCTTCACATTTTTGGGTGAATGGTATAGACTCCCTTGAAGACACAAGAATGCTGCATTGTTTCATTTTGCTTTTAGGGATTTTCCCAAACCATTTAAGATTAGGTACATTTACTGTTAGGATGCTGGTCAGCGTTTTCCCTAATTTTTGTGTTATAGTTCTTTTCTATGGGAGGTAAAGACTGTCCTAAAAGATGAAAATACATTTATCAACTGAAAAAAGGAGGGGGGGAATTTGTTTGAGTTTTTATATTCCTACAAAAAAGTAGGCCTGTATGGGGCCTTTTCAGTCGGTTATTTCTTTGTGTAATCTATAGGATTTGTTCTAACTGCTAGAAATCCAGAAAGAGTCTTTGAAACCAACTTGGCAGTCAGAACAAAGGAAACTCACTAGGGGAGAAACGTTAAACACACACACACACACACACACACACACACACACACACAGCACAGAAACCCTCACTCCATTTTCTGTAGCTCAGACATTACAAGCAAGCTGAAAGCATGTTCTTTAAGATACTGAATATTTGCTGTTTCTGTGATTGTTATAACTTAGAAACTAAAATCCTCCTCTACGAAGACTGACTTTTAGCTGCTTCGTTTGAATGAGGCAAAGGAAGAACATGGTGGGGTTTTGGAGGTCAAACACTGAAGTCTGACGTCTCCAACAAGGCTTCATAAAGAGCTCTTCCCTTTTAGTCATTGAACAGCAACACCCCATCTACCAGGGTCTCCAGCTCCTCTGGTTCGTGGGCGCCAGGGTTGGCTGAGTTCTGAGACCAGCTGGGCTGGGTGCTCTTGAGGGAGAGAGGCGGTGGGACCCCAGCTGAGCTCACAGGCTTTTCGAGAAGGAGTGCACGCTATCATGAGTTAAAAAATTCCCATGGTAAAAATTCATGAGTTAAAAAATTCCCATGGTTCTTTATGTTAAAGAAAATATTCCCTAGAACCTTAAGCAACAATAACGTTTTTACTGCTTTACATGCACACACGTATGGCTAGTGAGAGTAAAACGAACTTTGTTCCAGTTTGTCGCCAAGAATCCGCACCAAGAAGAGACTAAAGTGATAAGAAAAACGGTAAATATTTGGACGCTAAGTTGGAATTAGCAGTGATGGAAAGAACGACGTTTCCCCAGTTGATGTTGTTTACGTGGTTCTGCCAAACTAGTGTTGTTATTTTTTTTAAGTTTCCAAAGCCACATTCAGTTCTTGGCTCATTTAGTTGCGACAGAAATAAAATGCTCATGCGAGACGTTGATAAGGGACAATGGGCAGAGGGGAGACTGAAACTCTATATTCCCGTCAAATTGTAAATCTAAAACTATTCTAAAATAAAAATTAATAAATAGAAAACTACACTAAGTAAAATTTAGAATCTAGGAAAATGGAAAAATTCACCCACAATTCCACTACTCCCTTGCGCAGTTTTATACGGATGCTTATAAAAACCGGAACAACTCTGTTGCTGTGTAAAGCCGTTTCCTGAACGTGGCATCCAGTTTGCTACAAGGTCTTCCCCCCGCTGCAGTGGCTGCGTGGGGTCTTCTCTGACACACAAGTAGGTGCTAGGGAGTGTGTCTGAGGGCAGGGGAGGGCACCCCTGGGGGAAGGGACTTCTCGGCAAGACCCTGAGGACCGTCGGTGACAGAGGGAGCTTCCCTTGCGGCGGCAGAAGTGTTGGGAGAGCATATTCAAAACGTGAGTTGGGCCCCAGAGCCTAGGATGCTGGGGAGCGGTAGATGGAAGGTATTGGGGCTTTAAGGGACAGCCCCATGACTGTATGTGGGGCCCTGGGGGGAGGGGGCGCTGGGGGAGAAGACTGCTGTAACCCGGGACTGGGAGACGGTTGCTAGGAGCCATGTAGGTGGAGAATTCTGGAAGGAGACCCGGTTTGTGTGTAGCTGTTAAGATTGCGTCGGTCCGCTTAGGCCTGTGGAGTTTGTGGCGTGGGAGTTGGTGACGAGGTCTAATTAAGTGGTTGACTACGATGACGCAGCCCCGGGTGTTGGCTTTGGGCTCCCGTGAGTGACTGGGGTTACCGGGGAAACCCTAGGAGCGGAGGAGACCGGCAGGGATGAGCCCTTGCGGAGCAGCAGAGGGAGCCGCGGGCGGGGCTTCCTGCTTTGCCCCACGCAGCCAGCAGCCACGGTCAGAGGCGGCCCAGAGGCGCGGAGGCAGAGCGGCAGCCAGAGCGGAGAGCTGTCGGTGGTAGGGCGCTCGGCTTCACTGCGCCTCGCCAGGTTGTAGTTACGTGTTTGCTGATGGTTTGTTGCACCGCCCCTCCCGGGGGTTACACCGTGACCCCCAAGGGTAGGCCTGTAGTGCCTTTCTGCTCAGAATTCCATCCTCATTGCCTAGCACCTCGTGAGTCTCAATAAATATATATTGAATAAAGAGAGAGAAAGGCCGGGACTGGGCATTGCTTGGAGCGCCAGCAGAGGACTGCCAGCATCCTTGGGGCCCAGCGTGGCCGCAGGCGAGCCGCAGAGACAGCCCTGGGTTTGTCCACATGGATGCTCCTGGGGCCTCAGGGAGGAAACCCATCACTGGGATAAGAACGTAATTGCCAGGCCTAAGGGATGAGCGGGTCATAGAGACTCTGCAGTCCTGTTAGACTTGTTAAGGCAGCAAGGAAAAACATTACCCTCTCGTTGGGGAGTGTCAAAAAACACAGAAAACCTTTCTTTCGTAGGGCGACAAGCGTCAGATTTTAAAGGGCAGGCTACCGCGGAGTGGAGCGTTCAAACTAAGAGAGAGAAGTGGGATAATGAATAGTTAGTGGGTTTGTGTTCCCTGCAGACAGTAGAGAGGATTCATTTTCTCAGCAAATGTTTACTGGTGCCATTCTTGGCAGTGTCCTGGGGAGGGCGCACGGCACACGGATCTCCCTCGGGGATTGGTGATCTGGCGGGGCCGACGCGATACGCGCGCAGGGATGTACCGAGAGGCGAGCTGGTATTTTAAAAGGATGAACCGCCACTCTTCGTCGGAGGCAAGACTGAAAGAGGGCTGTCGCGTGAAGACAGAAACGTTCTTTTTAGCTGTAGAGACAAGCCGTGGACGTAGCTGAGTTCCAGTCTGAGCTGTGCCTTGAGTGATGACCTGTAGATGGGGCGGGAAAGGAGGAAACCCAGCGAAGAGGTTTGGGATGAAGCGTTGGTTCTGTTTCTCCAGCAGGGAGGCACAGGCCTTCCGGAACTAGGCGGTGGGGTGACAGTGCTCGATGAATTGGCAGTGGTTGCGAGAGGAGAGAGGACACGAGATCCGCACATCCATCCGTCCACCAGGTGGCTGAGAGCCGAGACCGCCTTAGCACCACTGCTTGGTGCGGGGACACAGGGGCCAGTGCTCGGAGCTGCGGTCAACTGAGCATGACAGTCTCTGCCAGGAGGGCTGAGCAGGAAGGCATGTGGGTGCTCCAAGAACAGGGGCTCCACAGGCAAGGAAGCTAAGAAACACTCCCTCAGACTCCTAGGGAGTCTCAGCACATAGACGGTAAGCCAGCTTCTGTGAATGGAGACTTGGTTCTGCCCCTGCCAGCCCTGTAGCTGTTAACTGTACCCCCCACCCCCACCCGGCCATCCAGGGCCTCCTCTAAGTCTTCGGGGCATGGGCTGGGCTCTCAAGGGCCCCGACAGAGGATGGGACATTCCTGGAAGAGTCTTCCCATGGGATGACGGGGTCGAAACAGAGCTCTAGAAAGGTCACCCTTTGTCCTAGCTGTGGTTGCCCATGGCGTGGATAGGAAGAAGCCTGAGGCTGAGGGACAGCAGGGGCTGCTGCCCCTGACAGCCTGGGTGCAGGGGCCTGGGGGCAGGTGCTAGGGGGAGAATGAACAGGTGAGTGCAGTTCAGACAT